AGCAAGATAACGATTGACAGACGACTTAAAATATTGCAAATTATATGAATCAGGAAAGCAAGATGAAGGAAGCGAATTCCAAAGAACTGATGTTCGAGGAAAAAAACTAGACGAATAAGAGTTTTTGGAGCACTTAGGAACAGTAACAGAAAAAGGATGAGACTTAATTGAATGACGAGTAACACGAGAATGAATTTTAGTAGATGGCACAAGAGACGCTAGCTCTTTAGAGCAGTGCCCATTATAGTATTTGTAGAAAAGAGAAAGAGAAGCAACATTACGACGATGTGACAGAGGTTGAAGGTTGGCTGCAAGAGCAGGTCCAACTATGTTTACAATGCGTTTTTGCACCTTGTCTAAAAGAGAAAGGGCATCATTAGAAGATCCGCCCCAGATATGGCAACAGTATTCCATACAAGGCCGGATTTGAGATTTATAGAGATAGAGAATAGAATCCAGAGTAAGAAAGTGACGAGCTCGATAAAGAGATGCAACTTTAGCAGATGCTAATTTTGCAACGGATTTGATATAAGGTTTCCAAGAAAGATCAGAAGTAAGAGTTAACCCTAGAAGATGAAGGGTAGGAGACTCATCGAGTACATTACCGTTCATAAATATAGGAAGGTCTAAATTATTGCGATAACGATTGGCCGAAAAAAATTGAGTTTTATCTAAATTAAAGTTCACCAGCCACTGCGAGCTCCATGCTGTAGCAGAAGTGAGATCCTTTTCAAGCTCAGATGCCCCCTGCAAGCAATCAGAGGGAGTTGGCTTCTTATCGTGACAAGAATAAATGGTAGTATCATCAGCGAACAATGCCACCTTAGATGTGAGAATATCTGGAAGATCGTTAATGTAAATTAAAAAGAGTATAGGGCCAAGGATTGAACCTTGGGGAACCCCTGAGGTTACAGAATAAGAAGAAGAGTGCTGTCCATCAAGGACAACTTTTATACTACGATTGGAAAGAAAGGATTCAATAATCTTAAAGATGTTTCCAGATACACCATAAGAAGAAAGCTTATGGAGGAGACCAGCATGCCAAACTTTATCAAACGCTTTAGAAATGTCAAGAGCAATGGGCTTAACCTCTCCACCTTTATCTAATGCGCGATAAAACCTATCGGTTATTACTGATAGCAAATCAGCCGTAGAACGAGAAGATCGAAATCCATACTGATGATCAGAAAGTAGGTTATGAGATTCGAGATGAGAGATTAAGTGTTTGTTAATTAAAGGTTCAAAAACCTTGCTTATGATAGGAAGAAGATTAATGGGACGGTGGTTAGATGGGTCAGATCGCTCTCCAGAATTTTTAAAAATAGGGATAATAGATGCTGCTTTCCAGCAGGCTGGAAAACAAGACTCTGATAAGCACTTGTTGAATAGTTTTGAAGAGATAGACGACAGCTCAGGAGAACACTTCTGCAAGAATATAACAGGTATGTTGTCCGGGCCGCAAGCTGTAGAAGAGTCTAAGCGGGAAATCACTTTAGATACAGAAGCTGGAGTGATAGGAATGTCGAGCAATGGATCAACCTGTTTGACGGGTATATCAGGTAAAACGCAACTAGTGGCATCAAGAGATGATATTGATGAAAAGTTCTTGGCAAACAATTCAGCTTTGTCTTTAGGTGAGGTGACAAAGTCTGAACCGTACAAAAGAGGTGGAATTACAGACTTGCCCTTATTATTGATACTATTAAAGATTCTCCGGAAGTCACGAGAGCCTAATTTTTGTGATGAAATTCGAGATTTCATGATCTGAGAATAGCGGGTTTCGGCGTTAGACAAAACCTTTTTACAATGGTTCCTAGCAGTAATAAAGAGACGTCTGTTTTCTGGAGAATTGTTTTGCTGATAGATATGGAAGTAATGGTTTCGATTGGCAATTGCAGCAGCACAATGTGAAGAAAACCATGGAGAAGAGTGAGGCTTGACCTGGAATCATCGAGAGGGAATAAAGGATTCCATGCCAGCCTGAATCCACGAAGTTATGTAAGAAGCACATTTGTCAACAGGGAGACGAAAGATTTCTACCCAGGGGACATCACGAAGAAAGTCACGAAAAGAGTCCCAGTCAGCTTTAAGGTAGTTGTAAGTACGATGATAGGGGGATTCTAATGGTGAAGAAGAATGAGATAGTAGTTTTAGAGAGACCAAACCATGATCAGATGACCTAAGGGTGAGTGTGAATAAACTGAGCACTGACTAGGATCAGAAACAAGACATAAGTCGAGTAGAGAAGGTAAATGATTCGGGTTGTCTGGAAAGCGAGTTGGAAAGTTGACTATTTGAGTTAGGTATTGAGAAAGACAAAAGTTGTGGGCCTTAATGCCTGCAGAGTCACTGACACTAGAACCAAGCCATTCAGTGTGATGAACATTAAAGTCACCGACAACAACAATATTGGCTGATGGATAAAGAATGAGGGCTTGGTCAATATAATCAGAAATAACATCAAGAAGAGTACAGTCTTGGGATGAGGGAGAGCGATATAGAACAAAGAGAAAGGTGATAGAGTGAAGTGGTGCTAAACGAAAGCACATAAAAGAGTAGTCTGTGGATTCAAACCTAGTTTCCCGACAAATGGGTGAATTCTTACGAATGTAAATGCCCAGGCCAAGCATGTGACTATTGGAGTCTTTACGAATTAAAGGAAGATAACCATCAACACTAAGATCACAAGATGAGACAGCTGAACTCAAATTAGTCTCACAAAGAGCAAGCAGGTCTGGTGAACTTTGCAAGAGATAAGAATCAACAGAAGAAAAGTTACTTCGAAGACCACGAATATTGGTGAATGATAGGTTTAGCGAACTTGGTGATGACTGTGGTTTTTTGTGTTTTATAGTTTTTGTTACTTTATTCATTTTTAAATTTGTTAAAGAACTTGACTCGAAACATTGATAGTACTCAGTTCACTGTTCTATAGCTCAAGCCATTGCCTCATTTCCACTAATAAACCCTAACCCGTAACAAAGGGCTCCAATGTGGCCTTGGCAATGCACACCAAAAGCACAAACAGGGACACCATCCATGCGCAACATGGCACTGTTAGTACTCTGATATTTTTCAGCTGTTGATGGAATCAGCCTCTCTGAGAGCTACCACAGAGTTCGGGAAACCTGACTACCAGCCGGCCTCAGAACCATAAAACTGAGTTTTAGAGCTGTACCCTCATTTGGAGATAATAGAATGAGTTGCCTAGTCATAAAAACAGAGACACAAGCAAAACCCATGAATCGAGTCAAGAAGATCCAGCGTTCAACATCCTAAACTGGAAACAATGTATTAAAAATATATCTGCGCCAGCCTAATAGATGACGAAGGGGTGCGAGGTTGGTCAACAGATAGAATCTGTTTACCCCTTAAGTCTTTGCCTAGGAGGCCTTCTACAAGACAGCAGCCGGATGCATGTAACATCTGCCCAAGATGAGTATTTTTATCGAGACACCATCTCTAGCCTTTACTCAACCAAGAGCCCCAAGGCAGGGGGTGTTTTATGTCGGAGTTTGCATCTCCTAGCCTTTGCCTAAAAAGGCATATCCTACAAGGCAGCAGGACATGAAGCAGATTGTACTGGGTTACATGTTACCAGTAGCAGGATAAACCTGACCTGACAACAAATTTTTTTGTCATCAATTAATATATATATATATATATATATATATATATATATATATATATATATATATATATATATATATATATATATATATATATATATATATATATATATATATATATTATTTTTAACAAAAATAATAAATATATATTTATATTTGTATTGGTGCCGGTGAAAAAACTTTAAAATGGATCTTTAAAACTTTAAAATGGATCTACTACTTTTTCTTTTGATGTATCAAAAAAAAAAGTAGTAAAGTTGGGTATTGGTCAAAGAACATGTATGGGTCCATTACTTTTCAAAATTTATATTTATGACCTACTAGGTGCAACAGAATTTGACACAAATTCTGTTGCACCTGGCAATTAGCAAATGGACTATCACTTAAATTCTGAAAAAACAAAAATAATGAAATTTGGTAGCGCAAAAAGTATAGAAATAACGTTACAAGGGCTTAAGGTTAAAGTCAGCATTTGTATTCCTTAAGTAATTTGTAGTCATCTGAAAAGAGTCGTTAGTTTGACGAGGAATTGGAATAAAAAAGTTTGCAATGAGAATATGATGTGTACTTCGAGCTATCTATGTTGAGAAATGTGATGGAAAATTGAAATAAAGCTTTTGGCGATTGGACTGTGCATGGCAATGAGAGAGAAAATGAAAGCTAATGCAAGCTCTCAAGCGTACTCCAATTCAAATTGATGAAACTACTGTGGAAGGTGGAGCCACAAAACTTATATAAGCTTGAGTTTATAGAGTTTTGCAGCTATGTTGCATAAACAAAGTTAGATGCTGCAGTTTGAGGAATGAACATGGCTTTGACTCGTAAAGTGTTTCCGACTGGTACCAAGAGCGACGATTAAACCGTATTAAAAATTGCAAACAATGTTATTAAATAGCATTTAGATGGCGGGCGAAAAGCAAATTGAGTGTTAATGAAAATTGAGAGAGATTGGCCATAAATATCAGACGCTATAATAAAGAAAAAGTCACACCCTAAAATTATGCTTTGTGGAAACAACTGTCAAACTCATCAGGAAATGTTGTAAGTGTTCAAGTTCTATGTCTTCTTTTTGTGAGCGGAGGGCATCATCTGAAATAATAAGGCGATGTTCAAAAGTAAGGTGATGACAAGTTTCTTCAAAAGTCCAGGAATAAGTATTTGGTTTCGAGCTGGAAAGAAATTACATTTCAATTCATTTTTTTTCAGTTCATTTAGCATTATACCTGGTTTTGGCTGACGCTTAATATCCGGTTAATTCAAACACTATCTGAATACGTTAAGAGTTTAAAAAAAATAATAATAAAATTTCTTGTAAAAGCTAACAGTGCTGTCTTTTTATAAGATTAAAATCAAGTAAAAGAAAAAACAATATTTTTCTTATAAACATATATTTGATTAAATAAAAGAAAAAGAATTCAAATATAAGTGTATATAAAAGGTTCCAAAAAATCTGAATATTAAATGGTTATTTTTGCTCAATCGAACGTAAGTTCGAAGCTCTTCGAAGTCAAACAAAGTTCTTTTTTCAGTCAACAAAATAAAACTGCCATAATAAAAAAGTCATCCAATGGCAAATAACCTTTACTTTGTTAATAAATCTATTTCTGTAACAGATGTATGATGATTACGTCCATTCCGCATTTTCACTGAACTTTGCAGCTCTAAGTTCTCTATAACTTCTTCGTAAAGTTTGTTATTTTTTGTTTTGATTAAGTCAAGATAAAGAAGTTCTCTCAGTGTCAAAGTCTTCAAAAACATATTTTTGTGACCTTTATAACTAAAAATATTTTAACTGATTAATTGTTTTAATGACATTTCTTGTTGCATTTATTAGTTTATTTAATATAAAATAACATAAAATACACCTTAGTACTAATTTTAAACTTATTTATGTGATATTTCAATCTGAAATATCACATAAATAAGTTTTATTTTACCGTCGTCTGAGGTAAAATAAAAAACAATAAAAACATCACACAAAAAAAAAAAAAACGTAAAAAAAACAACTCATTAGGTATACATTATTAAGCTGAACTGATGCACATTGGTCAGAAATGTCTGAAAATGCAAATTAATTCAAAATTTATATTTTTAAATGAGACAATCGGTTTCAATTCTAAAATATTTTTTAAACCTCTGTGAAGGTATGCACAACATTATTTCTCCGTTGGCCTCTAACTATTAAATTTTGCATATTTGCAAAAGAACCCTGGTAAAAACAAACTTTGTGTAAATAAAAAGTATTAAGATTATATTCCCAATTTTTAAATCTTAAACACTTAAAATGTTGAATCTAATTTATGGTAATTTTTGACAAGAAACATTCAAGAATTCAGGTTTTTAATAGAAAATGAATGCAAATTCTCCTGTAATGAATGAGTGGTTCCAAAAAGCACCAACTTTTTTAAAGATTTATATGTAAAACTTTAGTTTCTGCTCTCTGTCTAATTCTGTCGAAGTCAAAATCACTTTCAAAGTATTGATTTTGAACCTGTTTACATTTATGGTAAAAAAGCTTAAACCAGGATAGTAAGATGATGAGCTGGATGGACTCATTAGAAAGTTTTTTCTTTTAGAGGGATGGATCATTTCTTTACTGGCCGCTTGGCCTGTAGAGTATCCCATTGTTCCTCTTGGAGATGGTACAATCGCTTATCCTCGGAAGATAACCATGTACCATCCACTTTAGTAATATCAAAAATTTCATCAGGGTTCGTAGCTTCCCCGCTTGACACATTCATCATAACATTTCAGTATTTTATCAAGTTTTGCTCGTATAACTTGATCAGATACATGAGGAAAATTCAGCTTATTCTTCCACAACTTGGTGACTTCTTTGAAAATTTCCGCTATTCGCTCCTTTCTTTCTTTAATTTTTGGTCCAAGGAAATGGTAGCGTCCAATAATTTGCTTTTGGAAGAGAGGCGTTCTGCACTTTTCTTCCAGTGAATATTCTTCCAAAGGGACCATTCTTCTTCTTTTATGAGAGTCTTCAAATTTTATCAGATTATTGATCCAGACATCCTTGTTCTTCTGAATGCTACTATCGCTAGGCTTGTACGACGCCATGTGTTGCTTCTGTAATAACTATAAAATTTGATGAGCAGCTATATATAGTCTAAAATGTTCTAGAATATTCCAGAATGCTCTAAATTGTTATAGAATGTTCTTAATTGTTGCAGAATGTTTTTAATTGTTTTAGAATGTTCTAAAGTCTTCTAAAATATTCTGTTATTTTCCAAAATGTTCTAAAGTTCTAAACACGTCTAATCTATACAAGTTTTAATGATTTGCAGGAAAGCTACACGTATTAGTAGCAGTAACAAGACTAAATAAATGACAAAACGTAATTTGAATTGCGGGGTGACCTTTTTTAAAACCGAGAGAAACTGAACATGTTTTCAATGTTTTCTAATAAAGTTGACACAGGAAATTAATTTTTTTTAAAAAATGTCAAAAAGTCATGACCCTAATACACATGCTTCATTTAAAAATTTAGCACAAAGCTACACTTTATTATTAGTTTATGTAGTGTTACTGAACTTTACATTCATTAAAAATAGTTCAAGCAAAACTGATTTACTGGGGTCAATGTTATAAAACTTTTTACCGGCGAAAAATGCTACCGGCCTAAATAATTTTTGTCAATGTAATAAAATATTTTTAAAAATTACTGGCAATAAATTTTCTACTCTCGAAACGTTTATCGTAAAAATGTTTCGGAGGAGTGATACGGAATGTTTTGTTGAAAATCCAAAGATATGAATATTTAATTGTAGAAACTTGTGGTTCAGAATGTTTTGGAATCTTTAACTCAAAAACACTTTGTTTTATGTCTTGAGAATGTAGTTGATCCAAAAGAGATTTCTAAAAATAATATTTTCAGAGCATAGATATCTAAAAAATTTGATGCGTAAAGTTTCATGACATTGAATTGAAAAATATTTTGCGATTTTAAATTTACGGCTGTAAAAATTCCCAGAGTAAAATATTCGCCGGTAAAAAGTTTTTTAACATCGACGCATTTTTTTCACAAATATTTACTTTTTAAAAGTTTTTTAACATCGATTTCCCCTGCAAAAGGGGAAAAATGCTGTAAAATAATGAGAGAACTGTAAATTCTTAGCCATACATCCTCTAAAATAGTTTTCAGGTCTTATCACTTTTTTTTCACAAATATTTATAATAGATATTGAATTAGGATGACGTTTTTCATATTTCTTCGTAATTATAGGAGACCTTTGTGTCTGTCAAGTACTCTTTGGCACTGAGGGAACTAATCAAATCACTAATCAAATGGCTCTACAGGAAGCTCTGGCAAACATTCGGTATTTTCTGATAATAACGTACAGCCATGGTGTCTCTGACCACAGTTTGTTATTAGATATGTATAAAAATATTGATAAAAATCTTACTGAAATAAAAGTGGCTCGGCCAGTAATTTTTCTTTCTGATAGGCATTGTTCACGCTTTAGTTTTGATATCTTACAATTTTTACAATCAAAAAACACGTATGTTCTTAACTGCACCAGATACCACTGGTGTGACAGTTTTTAGACTAACTCAACAAAAAACTTTATCATGAGTACCGTGGTATGAGAGAAAACATTTTTACTGATTTCAATTCACTAAATAAAAAAGCTTTTATAATGATCTTAGGACGTATTTGGAACAACTGGACGCCAAATCAATCTATGATAAAAGCTGAAAGAAATGAAACTAACTTATATATCATTAGACGTCAATGACATGCAACAGAACAAGTTTGCACTAGCTACTTTATTAATTTATAAGTCCAAAAGTGTTTCACCAAGTACAACAACCCGTTAAAGATATATTGTTAAATCTCCTGATAAAAGAAAAAAATTCAGTTTAGTATTGGAAAGAAAAGTTTAAGCGTTCGCAAGAGTTAATTCAAGAGCTGAGCAAAAATTCAACTTGAAGAAATCCCTGGCCTTACTGACAGTGCAAAAAGTTAACCAAAAATTTCTAAAGTTTCTACGAGGGTTGAGCAGGAAAGAAATGTGTTGAGCTGGTGAAGGTAATTCATATTAATAAAAATCAAAAACTAAAAAATAAGGTAGAAAGAAAATTGAACAAAGAGAAACAAAAAGAAATATCTTTACGGTGTAAAAGTGAATGCAACTGTAGAGAAAGTGTGTCATGCCATAAAACTACAGTAATGCTCTTCTTGCCACAATGTACAAAGGTCAGTCTGCGGAAAATGTATATATCTTGTAAAGTTGATGGAGAGAAACCAATAATGTTTTTAGATGCTACAGTAACTAAAAATTCCCTCAAACGTAACGTTATTGAACATGAAAGTTACGAAGATGCTAGCAGTTAAAAGGATTAAAAAAAGTTACCATACAATTCTTATGTCTGTATTACCAACATGCGATATGGACAGACTTCCATGTTCTTAGTCAATTAGTTGATCAACAAAATTAAGAGTCGATAGTTACAATGATGTATGAAAACATTTTTAAATTGTTATAGAGTCAAATATAGCTACATATAAAGAATGGTTCAGAAATAACAAGTCAATCTTTTACTTAATTCTTCATAGGAAAAACAAATTTCATTTTAAAATTGAGTTTTTGATCCATATATATTTTTTTCGTTAAGGGATCCCAAAAATCACACAGAAATACTGCATTGGTCAAGTTAAATTATTTTAACAGCTGTTTTTATTATTTATTTTCTTTTGATTTTTATTTGCAGAATTTTAATCTTTAAAAAAGACTTTACTTTGCAAACTTTAATGAAAATTTAAAGATTTTACGGACTATCGTGTCAAAAAATTATTAGTTAAAAAATTAATAAATTTTTAAATAAAACCATTTATTATTTTTAGTATAATTTTCATAAGATTAGACTAATTTAGTTATTTTTAATAGTTTTCTTTTTCAAAAAAACTATTTTGTCAAAAAAAAATCCATTTTGATTCTTGATAAGATTTAATCTATAAGTTACGTGTACTAATGTGAGGCTTTTGTAGTCCTATAAGTTACGTGTACTAATGTGAGGCTTTTGTAGTCCATGAGTATTTGGAGCTTGTCTACTTGTACAGAATGATAGAATTTAAAAATTGTAAAATTTTCTAATTAATGAAAATGGTATTTTAAGCATACAGTGATAGCCTGAGTCTAAACAAGACATTTAAAAAAAAATTAGTAATTTTTTCACAAAATTTTTTAGTGCAAAAACAAGTAGAAGTGAAAATATTTAATTTCCTTTTCTATTTTTTGTGTAATATTTTCAGCTGAAGAACTTTGCTCATTCATTCTTAGTGTTTGGTTTAATAAATTAATGTTAAAATTTTAGCAATTTAAGATTACATATTAAAATGTAATTTTATCTAAAAAAAAATTTCTTTCAGATGAACTCTTCAAAAAAATAGAACCCAAACTAATTCAAGTAAAAAATAGTGACGTTTTTCAAGTCATGAAAGAAAGCAACGTGTCGTTTTCTGATAGAAAAAGACAATTTGAAGTTATTCGATATATTTTTTCTCATCAAAGATCTTCAAACATAAACAGAAATGGTTTTCACTCCAGAAACCAAAGATCAAAGGTCAGACCTTTGTTTATCACGTCTATGCAAAATACAAAACTTGCAACTACTGTTTTGAAAAATTCTTGCTTCTTTTCTTTCCAACAATTTCATCTCAGTTAAAAATCTTTATCATCGTCATCTGAAACTGAAGGAAGCTACTAAAACAAATTAGTTGATACCAAAATTAGTTGTCGTCCAAATGGAATTCATTTTTGGAAC